TCCTTGCATCGGCCTGGCTGGCGCAGCGCTCTGAGGGGGAAGAGGCAGCTTTTTCTTTCATTTAGCAACAAAGACCAGCCCGGAGAAAGGAGGCCGGGGGTGGAACCGTGCCTGTGTTCATTTCCCTTGTTGTCCTAGGCCCAAATCTCCTCCTCCAGCACCCGTTCTGCGCCGGGTCGGGGACCGCGGGGTGTACCCTGCGCGGCGTCCCACGGGGAGCTCGCGGCCAGGACTTGCCCCGATGGGGAAAGCGGCCGGACCGGAGACCCCCCAGCATCCTGCAGCGTGCAGTGAGCTGTAGGGAGAGTCCTTGGCTGCCTCCCTTGCTGCCTCTTTGTTTTCTGACAGAAGACTCCCATCCCTTCGCGTGTCAGCCCAGGAGCAGCAACCCGCTCGGGGGAGTACGTGTGTGTGTGTGTGTGCATGTGCATGTGTGCACGTGTGTGTGATCTGCAGCGCTAGCAAGCCGGGGGAGTCGCCTCTCCCCCTGAAACAGCCAGCGTCTCGCCGCTCCCCGTCCACGTTCAGCCCTTCTGGCATGGCTGGACCGCGAGGGTCACCGGCTCCCTCTGACCGCCGTCCCTTGGGTCTCCATCACGGCTCAGCGGTGCCGGAGAGAGGTCCGGGACTCGTCCGGAGAGGGGTGGAGCGGAGACCGGGGCCAGCCGCGTGCTGCGTGGTCGCACTCCCACTTTCGCGAGCGCCAGATTCCCGTGCGGGGTCCGCGCTCCAGCGAGAGGCTCCGACTCTCCGCGTCTCCCTTTGCCTCCCGTGTTTTGCAGCGCTCGCGCCGGCTGGGCTCCCAAGTGCTTCGCCTGGCCGCGACATGCCTGCTAGGGGTGTTATCTTTGCTCGCTGTCCCCCACGGCCCTCCTCTTCCTCCGCCAGGCAAGACCCAGCGAGCTGCAGACAGGAAAGCGGAGACAAAGGTCTGTCCCCAGCCGGGGCGGTCCCCTCCGCCAGCGCCTGCCCAGCGTGATTTTTTTCCCCCTCTCCCTTGCTTACGTGTTGCAGGTTTCTCGGGTTCCTGGTTTGGGTTTGAGCTGGCAGGGCTCGGCCGGGTGTGGGGGGGAGCTGGCTGCTTCTCAAAAAGGGCTGGTCGTCCTGAAGGACTTGAAACTGCTTTCCGTTCTCTGACTGCTCTTTCCCGGGGCCTGTAAACCGGTGGGCTTGGACGCGGAGACGGGGCAGGGGCTCAGGAGCAGGGTGGGGGAAGGGGGAGGACATGGGCAGGGGGGGCACGGGGGGTTTTTTGCTGGGAGGAAAGAGCGGCTCCCCCCCGCATTGCAGCATAACATGTGCAAAGTGCCCTCTCCAAGCTCGGGTCAGAAGCCCTCCCTGCCGCAGGTGGGCTTTGCAGGAGGGGGTTTGCACGGGGCCTCGGCGGCCGAGCCGGGAGCTAGACGCCGGGAGCCCGGGCACGTAGGGTGCTCTGACCTCCGGTGCCGGCGGCCGCGTCCAGTAGCTGCGGAGTCGCAGGACCTCGCGCGTTGGGTGTCGGACCCTCCTGTTCCCGTGCCGTGGGGAATCTCGGGCTGGACTCCTGGACGGCCGAGGTCCCGTGGGCCCTGCTCCCCCCCATGCTCAGCGTCTTGTGCCAGGAGGAGAAACCAGGTGAGCCTGGGTCTGGATTTCGCGAGCTCGCCTGTCCTGGGGCCTGCCAGCCCCTCGAGGCTCCTGCCCTGACACCACGGGCTCTCACTCCCTGTCTCGCCCACGCTCCTGGCCCCGTTTAGAGCCGTAGGGTCGCGAACGTCCTCACAGGGCATCTGGTCCGGCCCCACCGCCGGCCCCTTAGCGTTGGACCAGCGAACCGTCTTCTCCCCTCAACCCCGACTCCAAGGAGTCCTGTCCCTAGTCCGGACCCTCGAGCTGGGCGACAGCCGGGACTCGACCCCCGTGAAATCGTGACACCTGCAAGCTGGGGCTGATGCAGGGCTTCGCTCCCCCCAGCCCTGGACTGCTGGGGGCTGCAGGAGAGCCAGCTGGCGGGGCGCTACCTGCCAGCTCTTCCTCGTGGCGGTGGGGGTGGGCTGGCGTCCGTCCAGGTGCTGGGGGTGGGCCGGCATCTGTCCGGGTCCGGTTCTGGCTTCGGGTCTCGGAGCAGACCTGTCTCGGGAGGAGGGGAGGGGAGGGGAGGGGAGTCCTGGCCGTCTTCTCCCAGCCCCTGCCTGCCTGTCAGGGCAGCTGGAGTGTGGGAGCCCCCGGAGCCCGTGTCCAGCCCCGCCGCTCTCGCTATATAAGGGTTACAGGCTGCCGCGGGGAGGAGCCGGGTGCTGTAAAAAGCCAAGTGCCACAGCAGGGTCGCTGGGGGGAGAGGCAGCCCCCGGGGGAGACTCCTTGCCGAAAAAAGGAAACCCCCGGAGCCAAACCCCAGCCCCCCCAGGACAGCCGGAGGGGGCAGGAGTCACGTTGCAGGGTGCTGGGTCCAGCAGCACCGTGCCTGCGTCCTGGAGCCTTATCCCTCCTCTGCAGGAGCCCCCGGGGAACCCCTGTGCCAGGCAGGTGAGCCTCCCTGGTCGTGCCCAGCACCGGGGTTTTGTCATGTGCCTGAAGATGGTGCCCCTCCAGGCAGGTTGTGCTCGCGAGGGACCGGCCCCCTGCATGGCTTCGGCAGGAGAAAGAGCCACGGCTCCGCTGGTGCCACGTGAGAGCCGCTGCTGGGAAGGGACAGGCCCCGGGGGCAGCTGGGGCTGGTGTTGCCCTCCAGACACATCCTGCAGAGGCCCGACAGCCCCAGGATGCTGCCCACAGAAGCCGGCGCTCACAAGCAGGCTGCCCCTATTGCAACCATAACGTGCCGCCTTCACCAGGCTCACACCAGTGCAGTGGCCTGGCCCAGTCCAGCCCCTGGCCCCGCAGCAGGTGGGAGGCCAGTTCTCACGGCTTCTGGGCACTGTGCGGAGCAGGGGTCAGAGCCAGACCGTCGCCAGCACAGGCCGGGGTGCAGCTCTCACTCCTCGCCTGCCTGCCTGCTGGCTGGGCAGGGCACCATGCAGGTGCGCCCATCCCGTCTGAAATTGTGCATGCCAGGGCCCCCGGGGGAGCTGGCTAGAGGCAGGCGTGTACGTGCGCCAGGCTGGCTGGGCCTCGCGTGCGAGTTGAGGTTTGTAGGAGGCAGGATAACTCTCCTCCCTACCCCTCGGCCTACCGGCAAGGGTGGAAAGTGACGTCAGGACACCAGCCTGGCAAGGGCGGTTCAGGTTTGCCAGCTGGACCCTAGGGCATCCTTGGGGTGTGGGTAGCGGCAGTGCTCTGGTCATCCCCTGCCTAGCAAGGAGCTGCCGGATGGGCCTGACTCTGCCGTCCTTCTCCGCAGGTGCCACGTCTGACATGCCAGTGGGATCATGATCGCATGAGCCGTCGCTGGGGGGATGCTGCGTGCGGCGCCGGCACATGAAGGGCGCCCGTAAGCAGGTGAGCGCTCACAAAGGGCTATTGTCTTGGCCCCGGCTGGAGCCGGGAGGGATCTGTCACAGCGTGGGGCTGCCGGGCCTCTGCACCGAGAGGCTCCTTGTCTCTGCCTGCCTCGGTGTTGGCAACAGGATCTCTTGTGACAGGCAGTCCCCTGACCCTTGAGGCTCTGTCCTGGGGGTGCGGTGTGCCAGCCAAGAAGCGCTGAGTGGCAGGGCTCCAGCCCGGCCCCCTGCCTGGGGACACGGAGATCCTGGCGGGGCTGCTGGCGATCCTCCCATCCTGGTCTCCTGCCTCCTGGGTCCCTCCAGCCTGGTGTCTCCTCTTCTGCAGCCCTCAGGGGCTGTGGGCCTGCCGTGGGGCGGGTGTGGGGAGGGAGCTGGTTAGCGCGGGCTCCAGGATTAAGCTTAAGGAAGGAAGTGGCCATGAATCCCAGCTGAAGCCTTGGGAGGAGGATATCGCCTCCAGGGGTCAAGGCTGCCATTACCGGTGAGCAGGGCTGGGGGCTGCCCGGGGGTCTGGGTGCTGATGTCGCCAGCGGCTGCTGGTCCAGCCAGGGGTTGTGTCTCCTGCTCCTCTCCTAGCGCCGCCGGGTGCAGAGTGCCATCGGCCCCGTTTCACCTCCCTTCCTCTCTCTCCTCCCCACAAGCACGCAGAGCAGGCCAGACAGCCAGCGACAGCCTTGAGGAGCCTGACCGCAAACCCCGGGATGGTGGGAGCCATTCCCCGACAGCCACGCCGCTTCTGGGGGGTGCCGGGGTGGCAGGTGTCTCCGGCGAGCTGTGCCAACGACCGTGTGCTGCGGGGCCACCAGGACTACCTGGCTCGGCGAGGGGGTCGGCTGCGGAGTGGTGAGTACCCAGCCTCCCGTCCCCGGGAGCAGAGGCTTGGGGGCTGGTGCCACCCTCTCTTCAGACACTTGCTTGAACCTTTCATTGCACACTACGGACAAAGCCTCAGGGCCTGCCCCAGGCAAGGGACAGGGCAGAGGGACACGAGCCAGAAGCCGTGACTGCTGATTTCCCATGACTCTGCCCCTCTGGTCTCGCCCTGGCTGGAGCTTGCCTATAGACGGAGCCCTGTGGCCCCCTGGGACCTGCTGAGAAACCCACCGCTATCAGGCAGGAGTCGGGAGTGCCAGGGCTGGGCTTTTCCCAGTGCCCTGCCTTTCCGAGGCTGCCCGGTGGGTTTTCTCCGTATGCAGCAGAAGCCGCCTCCTTTCCTCTCAGAGCTCGGGTTTCCAGGCCTTCTCCCAGCCAGAGATGCAGTGCTGGGAGCCCGGCGCCTCTCACAAGCACCGGGCATCTCCCGCTCGGCTCCTGCAGTGCCGTGCACCAGGTCCCCCAGCACAGAGCTGTCGGGCATCCTGTTACGGCACAGGTGGGGAGCGTGGCGTAGCGGCCATCTCAGCCTCCCTTCCCCGTGCAGGCCAACTGGGTCAAGTGCCATCCCCGCTGCTTCAGCTCCTCCACTAACTCCGAGCCGCTTCCCTGGCATTTTTCTGCACGCTGCCAGGGCTCAAACCACAAGCTGCCTGCCCACCTCGCCAGCTCCTGGCAGAAGAGGGGCATGAGCAGAGCTGGGCTCTTCCCAATGCCCAGCCCAGCACCCAAATCCTCCCCACTCAGCCCTTGCTTCCCGGCAGCTCCGTGCATACCGCCCACCTGCCTGCAGGGCAGATGTGAGCCGCGCACAGGCCTCTTCCTAGGTCATGTGCGGTCATCATCATTTCTATGTGGCTGCATCGCTGTGCTCCTCCTTCCTCGGGTTGGCAGGGCAGCCTGGGGCAGAGGCTGGCACGGCGTCAGGCACCCAGAGCTCCCTGCTGAGCGGAGCAGGGGGCTTTTCCTCCGGGGTGACGTGGAATGGCTCGTTCTGTTCCATCCCAGACACCTCCCTGCAGGAAGAGGTGGCTAAAAGGGTCCATTCAGGGGATAGGGACGGGGCCAGGAGAGAGCCACTCTACCCCCATGGGGAGGCCAGGGCATGGCTGCCAGGACAGGGTTGCAGGGCAGGCACCCAGGTATCTAGGCTGGAGCAGGCTGATGCTAAGGGCAGGGCGGGTTCAGCCACGTAGCACGAGCAGGCTGGCTGTGCAACCCTTCCAGGGCAGGGCGGGGGTGACGCGCTGCTGGAGACAGCTCATGCGGGGCTGGGCAGAGCTGTGGAAAATGCACTGGGCCAGGAAACCCCGAGGCTGCTCAGAGCCAGGGGCTGAGGCCGGGGTGGCAATGGCGGAGAAGCCCGGGCGGCTGTCTGTCCGTCCACGCTCTCGTTCTGCAGCCTGTGGTTGGAGTCGATGGCCCGGATCCTCCCGGCGCGCTTCCTTTCACCAGCTCCCAGGGTCTTGCTACCTGGGGAACGTGCCCGCCTGCCCTGGGAGAGGGCATCCCTACGCCCCTGGGGCAGTCTCGCCCACCTTCTCCCAGGGCCAGCCTGGGCATGTCCTGTTTGCGTTTCCCTCTTGGAGACCTGGTCCCTTCCCCCTGCATGTCCGGGCTCGTCCCCTGTGGCCTCGGCCTTGCAGGGTGCTCCGCACCTCTTCCTGGCTCTCAGGGCTCTGGGGTAGGATCCCTGCACCCTGCCCTTCTCCCTCTGCGTTCCCCTTCCCCGGGTGGACGGCTCCCCGCTTCTAGGCCTGCCCAGCTTCTCTCAGGGAGAGGGGGGCTGGGGCGCTGGCTGGCACCAGGGCTGGGGGCTGCATCCTGCTCGGTTCCTCAGTAACAGCCTGAAGCAGATGACCTGGGATCTCAGGAGCTAACTCTCCCCTCTCTCCCCCAATAGATGCGGTGTTGCAGCGTGCTCCGTAACCAAAGCCTCATCCGGACTTGCTGAGCCGGGGGTGGTCTGAGGCCCCCGTGACCTCGTGGCACTTTACCACCCCTTCCCTGCTGCTTTATGGGCTTTCCTGTGTCCGGCGCAGTGCGGCGCCCGGCCCAGTGAGGCTCCATGCGGCACATCCACGCGGAGACGCCCCTTCCCCCAGAGCGCAGCCAGGACGCGGGGCTGTCGCGGGCGGGTGGCGAAGCGGGCTTGGAGCCAGCCCCCGAGCGCTGCCCGCGCCGCGGCCTCCTGATGGGCTACAATGAGACGGAGATTAAGCGCCAGAAGGTCTACCAGGTCTCCATCTTCTCACACCTCTCCAGTGCCTCTGAGCCGGCCGGCGGGCGGGCAGCTGTCAAGAGGGGGTACACAGAGACACGGGCTCCGGAGAGCACGCGGGACCCCAAGCGGGCGCAATGGGGGGCCGCGGGGACAGAGGGCAGGCGGGACGGGGTCCCTGGTGAGCTGCGGCCCAGCCAGGACACGCTGGAGGACGATGCCTTTGAGGATGGGCTGCTGGTGGAGGAGCTGTCGCTCTGCGGTTCGGCACAGCACTTCTCCCACAGCGGCTTGCGCGTGGTGGAGCACAGGGGCGAAGGCAGTTCTGGCCGCAGCGGGTGCCGGGAGAGCGGCTCCCGGGCCTGCCCAGAGGACAGACGGGGGGGGGGCGCCCCCCGCCTCCCAGCCACCGCACATCACTCGCAGCACTTTGCACATGAGAGACGGCTGCCCAGCCCCCAGGGACTGTGACTCTGCGGGGAGCAGCGAGCCTCTGCGCCCAGCCGGGGCCAGGGAGCAGCCGGCGGAGGAGAATGGGGCCCCGCGGGCAGACAGAGCCAGCAGCCAAACCCTACTTGACGTTGACCTGCAGCGTATTGCACAAAAGCCCTGGGTGGACACCGGCAGCGGCAAGAAAGAGGAGCCAGGGAGCAGCCCTGCCTGTAGCAACGGGGCCGGCTCAGAAGGGGAGCCGCCGGCCACGGCCAACGGGCACAAGGAGCCTGGCACCCCTCCGGTAGCCCCAGGCCCCGCGAACAACGGGCTGGGCTCGGCGGGCTGGCGAGGGCGCGGCCGACTCGTGCTCGGAGGACCAAGCGCTGTCCCCGCCGGCACGGAAGAAGCGGGCCCCGCTCTGCCCGCCGGTCCCGGCCTCCGGCCGCAGCACCGATGCCAAGGGTGCCCCTTTCTGGAACCACCTGCTGCCCGGGGCCAAGGTGAGTGGGCTGCAAGGGAGGGACTCGGAAGGGGATGGTGATGGGAGGTGAGGGAGACCCTTCTCCTGCCTAGGGCTTTTTAGCTGCCTGGTGTCAGGGCGGCAGTGGGGAGGGGAGGCGTGTGGAGCTCTCCGCATTGCACTTCCCTGGGGTTGCTCGCTGCCAGCTTGGCCCCTGCCCCGGTCCATTGTCGGCCACCCAGAAGCTTCACCCCTGTCACGCGGCTGCTCCCTGCTCTGCTTTGTGCTGCCCCTTTTGTGTGGCTTCCAGAAGGGGAAAAGGCCTGAAAGGACAAGTGCCCTTTGTGCAGGGGACACCGGCAGCCCCCGTCCTGCCCCCTCACCAGCCCCTGGGGCCGCAGCCATGGGGGCAGGTGGGCACAGCGCCATAGCCCTGGGTCCAACGGGCATCAGCGGGGCTCAATATGGACCCCGCGGGGCTGGGGAGCATCCAGGCTGGGAGCCTCTGGGTAGGTGTCACTCTGTGCGTGAACGCATACGTGAATCTGTGTCGGTGCGGAGTGCGTGTGCATGCGTGTACACACGTGTGCTTTTCTTCTCCGGGGAAAGGGTTTCCTGTGCCAGGAGCAGTCAGGCAGGGCTGGGTGGGAGCTGGCTGCGAGGGCACAGGCCAGGCTGTCCTGGAGATGCCCCCCCGACACTGGCACGCGCTGCCCCTAATGCAGCTCCATGGTCTCTCGTCTCTAGAGCTCTGCAGATTGCACTACGGTCGGGCGGCGGGTGAAGAGCGGGCTGCGCCTGAAATCGTGAGTGCCCCAAGCTGCCTCCTCCCCCTGCACAAGCTCCCCGAGCCGGGCAGGGGGAAGCAGGGGGTCCCAGCACCTGGGCTGCTGGGGCTCCCAAGACAGGGACCCCTTTGGTAGCCGGGTGGGTGGTTCTTACTCGCAGGAGAGAAGGGGATGCGGGGCTGGTGAGAGCACAGGAGACCCCCTGCCCACACCCCCGGGACCCCATATCTGCCAGCTGGCAAGGGACTGGCTCCAACGCTGC